GCCGGGTTATTAACAGCTCGAGTCTGCAAGGGTGCGGACAGCGGGCTGCAAAGGCAGCTGTATTTCTCCAGGGTTTCGCCCGGACTCTGGCGTCTTTGCAAACGATCCGGCCCAGCCTCACGCTGCAGAAGGAGCTCAGGGAAAGGCGGGAAACCAGAGCCCCCATCCCCAAGCAACAAGGGCTGCACAAATGTGCCTGCGCTAGTCTGTCGCTGGCAGTGACTGAGAAGAGTTTTATCCTTGAAATACTTACTTTTGACTTGCTTTGTTATGGGTTTTAGTGGTTCCAACCAGACCTGAAATAAGGCAATGAAGAACTGGGTGAGCAAACAGCGCAAGGGGCAGCCCTTTTAGGGGGTTTAGGCATCATGGCAAACCTTTCCGCTGGCATTTCCCACCGGGTGTTTCAGGGAGGTGCTGGAAGCCCTCCGCCATGCGGGCGGGTGCTGAGGGGCTGCGGCACGGCGCAGCACCGGGGCCCCACGCTGCGACCTGCACTCACGTGGTTCCCAGCCTGGCTGCGAAACTTCAGCCCGAAGTACTCCTTCTCCGCAAGGCTGAGGTGGCTGCAGGTGAGGTTGAACAGCCCTTTCCCGCAGGATTTTTGCTAGCAAACAAGCACACCACAGAAGCAGCGGGTTAGGCAATGCTGACAGTGATGGGATTTTGGTGAGACAGGGGAGAAATTTTAACTCTCTGCCTTCACCCCGAGAGGAGCTGTGGGATTTTCCTGATTTCCAAAACCTTACTCAATAAATGCTGTTGGTTTCGGCATGTGGGACAGGACAATTGCACGCTGTGTGCCCCTTACCTCTGCTCTTGGAAACCAGATTCCTTCTCATAATTTCTTTCCTTTATTAAGGAATGTAAACCAGAAAGGAAAAGGGAATGAATTTTGCTTTTGGCTCACCTTTTGCAACCATCACCGTCCAAGCAGCTCTATCCCTGGCAAATCAGCGAGCGATCCCTGGGATGAGCATCCGCCTGAACTGGGGACGGCCGTGGCAAACGTGCTTGGTGAAGAGCAAACGGGAGCACACCTCAAACCTGCGCAGCAAGCCTGCGTGCCCCGACAGCCCCCGGACTGCTGGGACGAGCTGCTATTATGGTTAATGGTAACGAGCAGCGAGAGGACCCTGCGGAGATCCTGCGCCTCGGGCGCTGGGTCATCCCTGCGCTTCAGCAGTGTTAATACCTGCTGACAAGGGAGGCCAGGCTGTAGTTATTCCCAGTTCAGGCTGTGGTTATTCCCAGTAAACAGAAACACTCGGAGGGTGTTTTGCTTGACTTGTTGCCGTGCTGTGTGACACGGCTGGGGAAAACCCCGGGGGCCCCGACTTTGGAAACGGCTCCAGAAAGCACCAGAAATGAACCCGGCAGTGCAGCACCCCAGCAAAACCCCTGCTACTCCTTTATCAGCTTGTGAAAAGCAGGTCGGAAAAGAGCGTGGGTCAGTGCGAAAGCGAGCCGCAGCAGAGAGGCCGCGTCAGACAGCTGCTGAATTACAACATTGTGGGTGATGGAGGTGGAGGCAGGCTGCAGCTCCCCGTGCCAGCGGCTGCTCCCGGCAGGGACGGGAGGGACCCGGCTGCTGGCGGTGATGCACACTAATGACCACCTTTCACGGCTTCTCCCGGGATGAAATTGCTGGCTCCGTGCTGAAAGGCTGCTGAAAAGTGATAGCGTAATAACAGCATTTGCTCTGCAGCACTCCCGGTTCTCCTCGAAATTACTAGATCACAAGGGTAATTAAAACAATTATAAATGTTGATTTCCAAGCTAGAATTTTCTAGCATGAAAGACCTCGGCCTTTGTCAGGCAGCCAGGACAGACAAGCATGTCTTACCGGGTTATTACCCACCTCCTGTCTGCTGGGAGCGACCCACTCTCCTCCAAGCCCGGCACTGCCCAGGGCGGTGGAGACGAGCAGCTCCATGCCCGGGGAAACCTGCTCGCCGGGGAGACACAGCCCAGTGATGCAGGGGCTGGTTTAAAAGCAGAGGCTCTCCTCTCGCGGAGCGGTGCCTGCAGGTGCAGTGTCCTGGGTTTGCGGGGTACCGAGGTCCCGACCTGCACTGCTGCACGCGCTGGGGTGTGGTTCTGCTCAGCACGGCATCAGGCAGCGGGGATGAGCCGGAGCGGTGCGGTGCGAGGCAGGAGTGTGACATGTGGGGCTGGGCACCCCATGACCAACCCTAAATGTGCCTTCGGTGATGTTGCAGCGCCAGGTTAGCACCCACAGGCAGAAACCCCTGTGGAGGGGACAGTGGAAAGGAGAGGCTGCGCTCACCCCTCCTCTCCAGGCTGGAAGCAGCTGGGACTGTCAGCAGGGTAAGAAAGCAAGAGGCACATCCAGAGGCAGACACAGTGTGTGTGACGCATGGGGACACGCACACCCATCCCCAAAGGACACCATGCCAGCACCTGCCCTCCAACAGCAAGGCCACATTTCCACAGCGTTCCCCATAGCACAGCCTGCTGCAGCCAGGTCTGTGGCTTAGGGGGGAGCAACAGCCCACAGGATTTGGTGTCAGTTTCCCCCACCATCCTGGGAGATGCCTCCTGTGCCAGGCATGCTGGTGTCATCTGCATGGCCACGGCTGGCGTGCAATGCCGTGCACCAAAAGCCACCCCCCCACCGATGCTCCCCGTGCCCTCAGCCCCATGCAGCCACCTCTACACACCTCCTCGCAATGGATTCCCACCTTTCCTCATCATAAGGGACACGAGACCAGGGAGACCTTTTCCTTCACTCTGTCCCAGCAATTAGTTCTTCTGGGTTTGTTTGGTTTGCCTCTTTCGTTTTTTCCTTCCCACTGAATCTTGCCCTGTAGCCAATTCCTCTAGCAGAGCTGCCCAGGCTTTGTCTGCCCGGGCTGCAACGCGGTTCACCCTTTCTGTGCTGCTCTGCGAGGGCTCTGGAGGCTGCACAGGCTCTTTAAACCCTTTCCAGAGAGAAGAGGAGTGACTTTAAGAGTGAGAGCACATGCCAGGCCACAGCTCTAGGTATCCAGGAGAGAGGAGGAAGGGAGGCAGCTTTGCAATATCTCCTCGCAGTGCAAGAAACCCATGAACGGCTGACCTGTGGCTGTCCCTGCACCCGGGCACTGGGGCAGAGGATCCCAGGCTTGGCGGTGCCATCCCAGGACCCAGCTCCATTGCCCAGCCGAGGGAAATCCAGGGAGCTCAGTGACTGCGGGGAGGGGGCCAGGTCTTGGCTGTTGGCGGGGATGGGGGGGGAGGCAGAACCCCTCCTGGGCCAGCACTCAGCACCGGGAGAGGGACTCGTTCTCATGCAAAGCTGGGCTGGCAATCAGACCCTGCCACGCGTGCTGGCAGCCGTGATGCCCGCATGAGGCAGGTACCGACGCACAGGCTAAGCGTGAGGCAGAGCGGGAATCAGGCCCTCCATGGTTTCTCTCTTTTGTCCTTTTCCCTCCATTATTGAAGTACTGCACATTCAAAAGAGCTTTCCAAAGTCCGGAAGCGTTTAGGAAGAGTTGCTTGAAATATCTGCTCACAACTTAGCCCAAAGCGGTTCTTTTATAACGGAGAAGTCACTAATTCAGCTACTCATTTATCGTATCCATACAGCGTCAAATGCATGAAATGCCTAAAAGGGGTTTCCAAAAGCGTTCCATGCTAAAAAAGGAGATGACCGGGAGTTCCTCTAATGGAAGCTATTTGCTGCAGCAGCATGTCATGCAGAGCGATAGTGCTGTTAGTGTTTCGGGCACATAAGAAAGCAGAGATGAAAAAAAAATGCAGCAATATTGTACAAGCAGCATCTTTCAATTTATCTCTCACTATGCCCTGATCTAATAAATATGACAAAACCCCAGCTTTTTAAATGGCTAGTCTCATTTTTAAGCTGGCTCTAGGTCTAGGAAACATTAATGAAACTAAATCAAAAAACTTCTGTACTGTGCCAAAGTGATGGAATTTCTTTACAGCCCTCCTCTGTGCAAAATTGCTGTCACAAAGAAACCAAGCAGTACATCCAAGACTGAGCAGTTCTCAGGCTATGCTACAAAGCCAGAGGACAGCACTGCCTGGGTAATGTAACAGAACTTGAAAAAAAAACAATTTATATGAAACACTCTGGTCCCAGAGGAGGTAAGAGCTAGAACAGATCTACCCGAGTTATCTAATTCAGTTAGCTACTGTGATCATCAAATCCTAACCAACAGTAAATGCGCAATCACGCTTGTAAAAAGATGTGTTTCTAACGCATAGTTAAGATACATTGTACATCTAGTTTCAATTTTCTATCTACATGTTTATCTAACACCATAGATATTAATACTTAGCATTTAAAATCTGTTTCAGCAGTCAATATTCAGAACCAGCGTTTATTAAACGTGAGTTATTAATGACAGTATGTTGTGGGACACTGTCATGCAGAAAACAAGGTATAGTGAGTTTTTTCCTCAGCTATCCTTAACCCCCCCGGTTTTCTTTTTCATCTGAATGCCCAGGAAGACATGCACGCAGATGTTTCTCACTAGGGGTAATTTGGTTAAATATCCTATTTTTATTCTGTTCCCAGCTTTTTATTCCTTGTTGAATACTGGCAGTCAGACAAATGAGAAAAGAACTCGACACTTGTCAAGAACATCACTTCGTATTAGCTGATTTCCAAAAGATGACACCAGAGAAGTAAGAGCCATTCCTCCTTCTCTATAAATAATGCCAATAAGAGGGGAGAGCAGGAGTGTGTTGGTGCTGAAAGACACTTAGCAATCAGCGCTATAGCCTCTTGTTTTGGATTTGAGGGTTTTTTTGTCTGTTTTTTGTAAAAAGCTGAAAGAAACAGAAGCTATCAGAGACCATGCAATCCTTCAGAGCAGCAATGACTGCAATAATTAGCACAAAAAACCCAATAAGAATATGATAGCCACTTACATCAACTACAAAGATCTTCTGGGAGTCATCCAGAAACTGGACTTTGAGGTGCAGCATCCTCGAGCGTGTGGCTGAGTGTGCGGCCGGTGTGGGAGTCCTAGCGATGTGAGCGGTGCGCCGGGAAGGGAGCCCTGACTCCTCTTGCACACATGATTTCCCTCTCAGCTGGATGGAGAAGGCTGCAGTCACAGATGTGAGGGAGGCTGGAGCAAAGGAACTGAATGCCTAAAAAAAAAGTTAAAAAAATTACTGATACCTCCCCTGGTTTAAATACCACCACTGCATTAAAGGATATTTTCCCGCTGTGAATTATGGGTGTATTAACAGGAGAAAGGCTGTGCAGCAGCTCTGCAAGCGTGGCACTAATGGGGCTGAGGCAAACAGAGCATTTACAGCTGGCGGTGAGCAACGCCAGGGCAAAGCGAGCCCACGCTTTGCACCGTGGGGTCAGGACAGACGAACGGAGCCGCTCTGCTGGCAAAGCCACCAAGCAGCGAGCGTTGCCGGTCCCCTGGTCTGGTCAAGGAGCACCAACACCCCACGAGTGGGCGGGTAAGGTCCCATCCACTGAGCAGACGTGTGCGGACCAGGCAGACGGGCGATGAACTTCACTGGAGACTGCGAAATGTTTCCAACCGAGCTGGAATCCAGGTGGGAGTCCTTCCCGGGGAGGCAGAGGAGGACCTGCTGCTAATTCCCAGCTCGCACCCTGGTTTGGCAGCTTAGTGGAGCCTCACAAGGCTTTGAGACAACCTGGTTCCCGTTTCACACCTGAAAAGCCCACGTCCCCACGCACAGAGCTGTGCTGCCTTGTCCCAGAAGGGCAGCTCACACCGGACCAGCGAGGAACCAGCTCATCCTCCGAGCGCAGGAGACAGCTGCCCACCCTCGAAATGCCCCTGGGCTCAGCCCAGGCTGTCGGGTGCAGCCTCCCCATAGCGTGGTGGGTTCCTGGGGCTTGCACTCACTTTGCTCCTCTGCCCTATCTACTGCAGGGATGCGGTGAGCAACCTGACCTCTCCAGCCCCTCTCACCTGGCAGAGACCCCGCTGTCACTGAAGAAGGCAGCGTTTGGGCAGGAGCCCCCGCCTGCAGAAATAAATGCACAAAGTAGTGCCAAAAGGCAGGTGCTGGACTGTCACAGGGGATCGTTATTGCTGCTGCTGTTAGAAAAAGCCACAACCATGAGCGATCCTGTGGGACCCAGAGCAATGGAGACAAATCCCAGCAAATGGAAAAAGCCACCACATAAAGTGCTGTGGAGATTCTGCTCATTGCTTCTTTCCTGGTTTCCACTGAAACATCCACTGTAAGTCACTCCAGGCCATTTTCTGGGGTCCCTCTTCTACTTCCCAAATATTCCTGGGGATGTCAGGACAAAGCCTATCAGGGCATACCCATAGCTTGTCATCTGGGGTGCAGAGAGGAAAAACGTAGAGATTTTTAGCTACAGAAAAACTTCTTCGGGCAAAAAAAAACCCATAAAAATTAAAGCAAATCTGCTTTTCCATGTGAATCTGCTCCACAAAGCAGCTGAGCTCAGCTCTGCCAGTGGCTGGGAGGGGTGGCTGTACCGAGCATGCAGGCACAGCTTCCGAGGACCAAATTCCTAGTGCTGCCCTTTGCTTGGGGTCCAAGCTCTTTGTGTCACGGGAGAAGGGCAGTGTCACATACGAACCACCCCGGGGGGCTCAGTGCACTTTCTCTCTGCAGTTTGAAATGTTCACGCCGTCAAGTATTGACGGGCATGGAGGAGCAGAGCAGCACTCCTGCAAGCGGCGTACACATCGCCGGCACGGCTCTGGGGGCATGGCAGGAGCCTTGGACCGGCAGGAAGGATGTACAGGGGTGCGATGGAAGAGCTGCCAAGCCTCCCCACTACAGGCAGTTCTGGTGTGCCAGGGGCACCGACCAGCCCAGCTGTGGGTGGAAGAAAAAGGCTTCTCTCACTACCGTGGCGCGAAGGAAGGGGACTGTGTTGGGTTTATCAGGGCCTCTAGCCACCTTACAGAGGTATTTGTGCAGCCAGTGTGGAGTCAGCAGAGGCAAACAAGGTAAATGAGGATTTTTTGGGGGGTAGGACAGTAAGGGACAGCCAGAAGAGATGTGGGACAAGCAAAGCCCACTTGGGACACAGGGATTATTGCTGAGAGCAGAGGACATCCACCATCTCAGCAAAATAGAGACCCATTTTACCCCCACCCATCTTCCTTCTCCCAGAGGTGACTTTGGGGCTGGCTGAAGCAGCCCACATGGTGACACCAGTGCCCCAGGAGGAGCGATTCTGGCTCCCAGCCTGAGCCCATGCTGACCTCCAGCCAGGCACGTGCATCCTCCTTATCCACAGGGTCAAGGAATGATGTGAAAATGGTGCTGTAAAGCGCAGAAGAGGTGAAGGGCAGGCACAGCCGTACCAGCGGGTGGGGAGGGGACCCCAAGCAGCAGCACCGGAGCACGGCAGGGTCTGAGCAGCAGCATGTTGGAGCGAGTACTGCTTCAGGGCTGTTTACTCAGCCATCTCGTCACTTGCTTTTCAAGACTCTCAACCCCACTACCACCATCCTGCTTTACACCAGCTCTCCCGGGGAGGACTTCAGTCCACCCCCATGTTAGGCTGAATGGCATTGCCTTGAATGGGGGGGGGGGTCTTCTTCAGCCCCTCGAACACTCTGCTGTTTGCCAGGATGGACCAAGCAGAGCAAGAAACAAGAAGTCTCCTTTCTCCTAAACCCCACTGCCCCTTTTCAAAGGTGTTTTTTCACCCCAGTCTTTCGGGTTTGCTTGTTTGCTACCCTGCTGGCCCTGGAAGTTGGCAGCCTGCAAATGTCTGACAGAGAACTGAGTTGCTGCGGCCGTGCTCTGCGGAGCCTCCCGAAACAGTGAGCCACCAGCACCAGGCAGTCTTCCTCCAGAAGGGCTCACTTTGGGCCCTGGAAATGGGTGAGAAAATGCCCCAAACCTCCCCAAGTCTCTCCTGAGAGAGAAGCGGGCTCTGAGAAAGCAAAGTCTGGCAGAGAAGAGGCGTAACATGCTCCCCCTGCATCACTGCAGCTGCGGCTCTGCACGCTGCTGTACCGTGTGTTTTGCCATGCTTACCTTCAGTTTTGGTTTAGAGGGAAGGAAAAGATGACGGACAGATAAAAAGTAATGCAATAGAGATCTGCCAGGGGATTTTAAACACCATAGCCCAAAAGGCAAGAACCCGCACCCAGCTCATTGCTGAGAAGGAGAAGCGCTCATCCTGGGTCTGACACTCAAAAATATTTTCTGTTGGCAGCTGCCGGAGACAGGGACTCACCTAGGTGGGCTTTGGTCCGTTGTGGCCTTTCATATGCTTACATTAGACCTCCTCTTCCTCAGCTGGAGCTGCCAGCAGAACATCCACAGCCATAATGGCTGCAGGGCTGCCTGCCTGCCATCACTGGGAGCGGGCTGAGGCACAGCCAAAGCCCTTCTGAACATCACGAGGCACACGAGAGGAGTATCACCAGCTGCTTAAGAAGTCTAAGGCACGGCACCGATACTAGAAAACAAGGACATTTCTTTACGGAGTAGGGTACCTACAACCTTCCTGCTCCCACACCAGAACGAATCATTTCGCACTCAGCCGGGGTCCTGGCTTAGGTACTAGCTGCTTTCAATTTCTGTATAAAGTATCCCCCAAAAAAGGCATTTTCAAAAAACAAGGCCTGAAAGAACTGAATGGGTTTGGCTTAAAAAGAGAAGAAAGAGGGAACAAAGGTCTCCTGATACATGGGGGACCATCCCAGGAGGATGGATTGGCTGTGCTCCCAAGCTATTGGGAAAACAAAGAAATTGCTGCAAATTGCAGGGAAGATCTGAGTTAGGTCCTAGGAAAGACCCTTAAACCTTCTGCGAGGCAGGAGAAGTACTGGAGCAGGCTGGACAAGCCAGAGATGACTCAGACCGAAATCTGTTAGGGGCGATCCAGGCACACTTGGTCCTGCCTTCAAACCTTTAACAATGAATATCATTTTTTCGTTGACTTCACAAGTCATATCTCGAGCGTATCTCAGCTGTTGACTAGCCAAGTCTAGTGAACTTCAGACCCTTCTGAAAACTTCTGCCCCAGAATCCTTTTGTTTATTGAATGTAATAAGCAATGATACATTTGCATTTCCATCAAATTTTTCTTGCTAAACATCAGCTAAATAGTCTGACATCACTGTGCTGAAACTTATTACTCATAAGTAATTGCTGAGAGAAGGGAAATTATTGCATCTTTTCTTTTGTGTTTAGGTGGGTTTTACCCACTAACTTCCAACTGCAGGATCAGGCTTTTGTGACCAGCACTTTGTTTCAATACCAGAAGGTGACATTACACAGCAGCATTTTCCTCTCCAGTTTGCCCCGATCCTACCCAAGAAAATCCTGCCGTGGTGCCCCCTCATCTTGCCAGCATTCCCACTGCGAGCTGTACTTACGGCAGTGCAACACCACAAATATTGTTCACTGACAGCAGCTGGTGTTCATCAGCATTAATAACTCCTCCGCAAAACTGGACGAGACCGACAGGAGGGGAGCAGCTTCTGTGAGTGAGCACTGGCAGGAGTGGAGGTGAGCACCCTTAGTGTTAGACTGGAAATTAAGACAAGTTTAGAGAATTGCACCCTCCCAGCCGGTGGTTCCAGCGCAGGCGGTGACACGATTACACGCTCGCTACTCCAACGATTTGCATCGGTGTTCGGCCGGGGAGGATTACAAGATGGACAGGGAGAGGGGCTTTGGGAGCGGCTCGGTCGCTGTGCAGGCAGGCATCCCAGTGAAACCAGCAGAGCCCAGCTCAGTACAGCTTGCAGGCACGTGTGTGGGAGCTGAGCGTGACCCTGACGTGGTGAGAAGCGCGGTGCCATTGCAGCTGCTGGACCCAGTTACAACGACATAAAAGAAATCGGTTTAGCTGAGTTTAAGCACTAAGTGAAAATAGAAGTCAATCACCCGACTCGCCCTGCTTGTTTTGGTTTTTTTTTAGGAACAGCTTCTGATGTTCACAGAAGCAGAGTCATACCAAATCTTGTTCTTGTGATGATGTTTTA